TTTCGTATAATATATCATTCACAGGAATAATATTCGAAACTACTTATACTCTTATTATATTCTAAAATTTTCTTATAATGTTAATTTATTATTTTATATTATTAAGAAAATCAGAGGACTTAACTCTGATGTTTATAGGAATAAATACAAATTTAATAATTGGTTTCATTCAAAATAATTATATTATTATTTGTAAAAATATACAATTGTCGTGTTATAGTATAATGAAACATGGTTCTAACTTTTTATTGTAAATATTTTTTCTTTTTAGAAAAATTTGTTATAAATTTAACAGACCCGTCGATTCAAATACGTGTATAGATATATACATACAGACATAATGTTTATATCCAACTGTATTTTAAAAACATAAGATTTATTACGTACTTGGATCAATTAAATGTTCCTCTCACATTCAATAATACTTTTAATCCTTTATAAAAAAAAATATAACGGCAGTTTGTCATTAAATTTATTTTTATTCCTTTAACTAATTTAATCGTATTAATTTTAAATCCAAATAAAATTTTAATCAAGACATCAGGTTAAAACTTTTTATTACAATTTTTAATTGTTGCGATTTGAAAATATTGAAATTTTTATCGTTATAACAAAGCTTATACAATTATTAGCTTCAGTTGTTTTATTAATATATATTAAAATTATTTTATTTTTATTGAATAACAGCTCGATGTAGGTTATGATTGTTCTATAAAAATTTGTACGACCCTTCTCATTTATGTTACGCACGATGCGTGTTATCTAAGAATGCCTATGCGTAAAGTCTCTAAAAACGGATGGTTGCAAACTCCGAACTAAGCGCACTGCGAATAACGACGCCATGATGCTGAAATAAACGCAATGAAATAAACGACAACCGTGAGCAGTGGTTATCGAGTATGCATACGTAGATCACCGTTTGCACCTAAATAAGAAGGCTACGTAAAAAAAATCAGGGTTGATTTTTTGAAGTCATTTATTAAAGAAGATCTTGCTTAAATTGTCTCTGCTGTTGTTGCTTAAAGAAACTTTTTTAAAATTCTGTCCCACTGTGATTTAGCATAACCATTGATTATACCACCTTTGGATTTCTATTTCCGACTTTCATATAATCACGTATCCTATAAATTCATTTTGATCATGTTATTGGGTGTATCCCCGAGCGCTTGATTTAATCGATTTTATTAATAATTGCGAAACTATCATTAGGAAAATCGGAAACTTCATTCAATATTGAATATAATCTTCTGTTGCGTTTCAAATGTTTTTTTTTAATTTGAAATTCAATTTTCTTTATTATAAAAGTTTCTAAATATAAGTATTAATCTTCTTTCATGATTCTTACTTTTGTTTTTGTTTATATATGCATAATTACAAAAAAACTCTACTCAATAAAACTTAAATTAGAATGTTATTTAATATATTTGTTTTTTGTTATGTACTTTATAAAAACTAAACGCCTAACAATTGAATTTACATTATATTTTTATAAATTATTAATTGGTATTATTACTGTATTAGTATGATAAATAATTAATTTGTATAAAAATTTTAGACTATTTATAAGATATTGATTAATAATTTGAATTATATTTTATATTGATGCTTTATTAAAAATATTTCAATTAGTTATGGATAGAAATACTTTAAAAAAAAATTTTTAATATTCCTATCAATTTCAGCATTTTTAATTGTAATTTTATTAAAAAAAATAAATTATATTATATGCATATACTTTTAACATTCATATTTTATTATTTTTTTTTAAGAAAAATATATGAATATATTATATATAATATATATAATATAATATATGTTTAATTTAAATATTAAAACAAAATTCAATAATATTCCTATAAATGTAGAAATTATATATTATAGAATATAATTACAATATGTTATTACACATCGTTCTTTTGAACATTCATTTAATGCAGTACATTAATATTAATTCAATTAATAAAGAAATGTTGTAGTCGTGCAGATAGTCTAAGCTTATTGATTCTGAATAGTATGCTTAATGTAAAATCCAAGCTATATATATGGAAACATTGATAATATTACTGGTCACACATTATGTTTAAAGAAATAAATTTGACCATTTTATTTTGTCTAGAAAAAATTGCCTTACTATTACCGAGATTTACAAAAAAATAAAAAAGTAAAAAAATTAATGGAAACAAAAATAATAAAGCTTTTTACTATAATTTTACTTAAATATACAAATAATTTTAATTTAATTTTAATCGAGAAATGTATATGTATTTTCAAAATATCAAAATAAAACATTTAGTGATTTTTCTATATTAGAAAATGGTATTATTTATAATTTAGCAAAAATGTGAAAAATACTAAAGATGGGACAGAAAAAATACAAAAAATAATATGCGGACTATTAAAAAATCTAATTTGACGAAGAGTACATAGGACATTATGAAGGATAAAAACGTTTTGTAAGGAAAAATTCTATAATCCTCCAAATAAAACGTTCATTAAATAAAGTTATGAAGTTAAAAGGGAAGAAAAGAGACATGCTTAACCCTTCGCTTAGTTTTGTCAAACAGAACGAAAAGTAATGATGAAGAGTACGGGATGCCGACGTCAACAACTGCAGAATTGCTAATTAAATTAAAAAGGTACTATATACAAACACTTTCTCAACGGTTACAGCGATACCTGGTTACAAAAACGGAAATAAAGGACCAATTTCCTCGATAATTACGAACGCTGTCAAAAGAGTTCCCATCTATTGAATCATGAAGATTGTCAACCTCGAATCAGTTCGTACATACGTTATTTATAGTAATTAAAAATCAAAAAAAAAAATCAGTGTTACTTTCAAAAGCAATTTTCGATCATTATTGGTACTACAAAAAATTCAACTTTACTTCCCGTCACTGTATCATTAAGTAAGATAGATTAAGTAAACTATGTGCGAATATTAAATATTGAATACAGATTCTTTGTCCTAGATAGTTTCGTTCCTGAGAGCCATTTATAAGTTTTGCATATTGTAACAACGTTGTAAGTATCTCGATATATTCTATTGTTACCATATTATAAAACAAATCTCAAATAGTTTTTATTCGAAATTATTATAAAATTATAAGACAACTTGGGTATCAAATCAAAGAAATTATTTACGGAATATTAGAAATATTAACTCCGACAGGTATAGTTTCAATTAAAGCATACATTAAAAATATCGGTTACAATACTAATTAAATAACTGTAGATAAAAAATTATTGTAAATATTAAAAAATTTTAATATTAAGATTAAGTATGCAATTATACATAATATAAAGAATAAAAATATATTCACTTAAATTGATGTATAAAAATATTTCCAAATTATCTTAAAGTGAAGATAAACTTAAAAAAGTAGAAATAAAAATTAATTAATTAAATTAAGAACATTATTAACAGATCTAATATTGCCATTCCAATGTAAACAAATAATTAATGTGTTAAAAACTATAAGTAATTTAGAAGATTTAAATGCACAATTTTATAAATAAAAATGTCTGATTTTAAAACGCTGTACGAGGATCTAAACAATAAGCCAATGAAGCTATTAAACAGATATATTGGATACAAAATCGGTAATTAAAGAAATAAATAATAAAATATGTATAAAAACAAAAGTGGCGAAAAAACAAAATAATTATGATTCCTTTCTAAATTTATGTAACAAAAAATATTAAATAAATCTTCTGATAACTAAGTATAATTATCAAGAAGTAATTAATCATCTATCGAGATAACGAATGACTAGGATTTTATTATCATTTGATTTTTACTTTATAATACCATATATCACTCTATAATATTAAAAAAATATATATAGTTGTAACCATTTTAATTATGAGGTGATATTTTTTATTCGTGAAACATTTAAATAAAATATGAAATTCCAAGTATAGCATTGCATTATCAAGATTCCATGAAAGTAAAATACATGAACTAAAAAGAAAAAAATGAGAAAATAAATATAGTAAAATTTATTACGTATTAATAAAATCAGTATTAATAAAGTGAAATGAAATATGATTTATTTTTAGATTATTTCACTAATATTAAATTTAATGCACCACAAAAATAGACTTCATTATTATGCCATGTAATGTTCTGAACGACTTATTAAAAAAATCAATAACATAAAATTCAATATCGTTAAAAAATTTAAACAAAGTATATGAAACTATGTGTGTTATTTGATTTATTATAATATATCGAATCATTACATTTATATAGATAACAGAAATTTCATCTCGTTAGTGTTTCCGAATGAACATAAGTATTAAATCAAAATATTGACAGCAGTACAAGGCCTAATATATTTCCAAAGAAAAATTTGATTTTTATTGTTTTTTAATTTTACATAATAAAAAATTTATATAAAATATACATATGAAATAATTCACATGAAAATTAAGTATAAAATGTTTAATTGCGGAAAATAAAATAATCTATATTATTATTATAATATGAGAAAAATTAAAAACTGGAAAAGTATGTATGGGATCGCTTCACCCTGTAAATTTATGTTCATTAAAATACATTATTTTTACATCTAAATCTTGATAATATACTACTGTCTATAATAATACAATAATACTAATACTACAGTATTTAATTTATTTATATTACGCGCCATTACAAACGTCAATAAAGAAAACGTCTATCTATTAATTCTATAGATTGTATTATACACATGGCAAAGATGATTTATATTCTAAATAAAATCAGTGAATTTATAATACAAACTTTGTAATACAGCAATACTTTCGGAACATATAAATCTAATGAGGTTAGATTTTCAAAAATGCCCTCCGATTTTATTGTCGATTAATTTCATCAGTAAGCATGTAAGCATCTAACTATATATTATATATATTTATTTTCCTTATTTACACTTATATATTCAATAATAAATTTCAAGAAACTAGAAAGCTTTTTATGTACATAAAATCATTTTACAAAATTTCTATAAAATTACATTAAATTTTTTAACTTTCTCATTTTAAAGGTTAATAGGCGTAAACAAAATATTATGAATTGTGTTAATCATGCAAAGCAAAAGAGATAAAAATCATTATTAATTTACGTCGAAAGTTTTAAAATAAAATGTCGTTTATGCCTCTTTGGCCAAATTTACAACCAAGAGCTACAGATCCCTTATGGTTTAATGCTGACAAACCAATTGATGATGAAAGTGAAGTATCTGCATTGGAACTTAAACATCAAACATGGGTAAAAAATTGTTTTTTAAAATATGTAATTTCTTTTCATAATTAAAATGCATTTACAAATTTATTTCTCTGAAAGTTAGAACAAATTCGAGTTGAAGGTTATGATCTTATTCCTATTGGAAAATCAGCTAGTGATGTAAGTTAATTTAAAAGTGCAATCAATCAAATTTCTATTTTTTATATAATTTTAATTTTTATTATATAGTTTAGATGTTCTGAAGAAGAGGAAGAAGAGGAGGAAGAGGAAGAAGGCGAAGGAGAAGAAGAAGACTCGGATACTCACGAAGAAGAAGAAGAAGAACTAGATGATATAGATATGGAAGTTAGTTACTCACAACAGCAGCAAAGATCAAGTCCATCAGATACTGCTACTGATCCTGTGTCCATTAGAATGGTTTGATTTAAAATTATTGTAATAAATCATTTTTCAATCTTTATTGTTTAGTGATACAATAATATTATTAATGAAAATATTTTTTTAATTCTTCAGTATAATTAATTGACACGCAGTAATTTTTAATTTTCAAAACATATAAGGATTCTTTTGTATTTAAATTATTCATCACTAAAAATTGTAGTTGAAATTTAAAAATAGATATAAAATTTTTAAAAAATTGTATAATATATTAAAATCATATAATAGCTTAAAACAGACTTAGTGCCACTTACAATTGTTGATGAATTCTATCTTTGTGATTTTAATGAATTTTAATTTTTATTACAAGAATATGAAATTGATTTGATACAAAAGAAAGTTTACATAAAATAATTCAATTTATTATTTAATACTGTATTAACGATAAAAATAAAATATGAACTAAATACAGGAGGTCTAATAACCTTTAAATAATATATTAGATAAATTAGAAAAAAAAATTTTTTAACATTATTATTGAGTAATGTCGGGTATTATTTTGATGATTTTAACAAATTTACTTTTGAAAAATGGGCATTAATTTTGAAATAAATAATAGTATTTAAGAATTGAATATAAATATATATTATTTAATTTCTTTTAGGAACCAAGTGGATCATAATTAATATGTTTTATTATAAAGATTCTGATGAGAGCCATTTGACCAATTTTTCTCAATCAAGGACAACATAATGTTATTGATATTTATGACATCAATAACTATATTATTTCTTATAATGTTTTTATAAAAGGTGTATTCATATCCCGGAAGAGAAGATTGTCTTATATGTTTTATACAAATAAATGCTCTTGCGTGTTATATTTTTAATTTTAATTTAAAACAGAAATAATATTGATAAATAGTTAAAAAATAAATATTTACGTCTATTATTATTTGTATATTATATAATCAAAAATATTCTATTTTGGTATGTTGTACCACTTTTCTTTGTGAATTTTGGAAATTGAATTTATGTTTAACAGGTTCTTATATCTTGATTATATTTATAAAATTATTAGTATTATTTAATGATTAAAATTTTAGCTATCTATATATCAATAAAAAATATAATACATGATACTAATATTTATTATTATTTAAATCAGAGAAATGTAAGAAATTAATGTAGATATTTTAACTAATAACTAATATTTTAATATTTTAATACCTTTGATATGTGCAAGCATTCATTTTTCTATGAAAAAACTTTCAAATTATTTGCAAAATACAAAAAAATAGATGAGACCAAATTTCGTAAAAAAAAAAAAATGAAGTAAAACATATTTATTGAAAAAGCCAAGTTTAACCATGAAAATATACTTAGCATTTATACATATGTATATATATTTATATATGTATATTAATGTAAACGGGAATTAAAATGGTTATGATTTTATCATTTGAGTCTTTAATACAACTGATTAAATATTAATTAATTCATTTATGATAGTAACTGATATTCTTACGTTAAAACATTTGATGTTTCCATTTGCTTTGAGAATTCTTGTTTTTAAGAAAATAATTGTAACTTCTTTATATTTTTTATTTAAACTTTTTATGTATATATGTAATCAATTACTAAGTAATTTATTTTCTCAATAGTCGAAATAGAATTATATGTTCAAATTTCTAATAAGATTACAAATATATATGCCAAAGAAAAATTTCCTGATATTAAATAAATAATCAATAATTTAAATACAACTTAATGACAATTAATTACTCATACATTATTCATATATTGAATTAAATTTTTTTTCTACAATTTATTAAAGATTTTATCAGATTAGCTTTACTTAAATAAATAGCAATTATAACCTTATATATTTATAATTATTCAAACATGTATTCTTATGTTATTTGCTCCAACTATCGGGAACAAGCTTACTAAATTATACGAATCATTAAAATAAAAATAATGAGTATATTATTATTAAATTTTTATTTAATGTTTCTATGTCAATCATTTTTTATTTATAAAGATAAATCAACACGATTTATTATATTTTTACATATATTAATTATTTTTTTTAATTTACTTTAATTCTCTATTTAAGTTTTTTTTTATAAATTTCTTCTTATTGTTATTATAAGAATATATAGTTATTTAATGTAATATTAATAAAATTACATACATATAATGTTATGATAATTTAAAATGCAGATATCTACAAATAATAAGTAGTAGGGCTGGGATCTACTAAAACTGATATAAATATCTAAAACGATGTAAATATATTTTCCATTTTTGTGTCTTTTACACCCTTCTATGTATTTTGTTCATTAATCGATGATGTTAAATGCATTTCTAATTTATTATTATAAATATAATTTTTATCTATTCTAATATTATTTTTAACTTAATTATTATTAATAATTGAAGCTTTATTACATGAAAAATACGTTTGCAAAATTAATATATTATGTTCTTTTAAGTATGCATGTAAAAATAACCACCCATATGCAAATTTATGCATTGAATGCACATGAATTTATACCGCCGCCTACGCAATCATTTTATTTAAGGCGTACAGACCCGCGCTGGAAAATGCAAGAATAATATTAATTATTGAAAATGTTTATCTTGATAGAATCAGTGAATTATGGGGATGAATCTATCATAATTCTTTCACTGTCCATGAATTGTTGAATATTAGAATTCGTAATAATGGAAAGAAATTTTAGGGATCATACGTCGTATGGCAATTATTAGCCTAGCCTAACGATACGTCAGCTCCTACGCCGTTATCACAATTACTGGGAATTACATTGCTTGCCGCCACTTTACTCTACACGCGACTTTCCAATATGCAATACAGCATAAGGTGACGTTTGTGGCCTATAGGCGGCTCGACTGGTCACGAAGTTGCGTAGACTATAATAATTTAGCTCGTACTTAGATCAGTTGCGCGTTCACCGTCTATCCGTTTGTATGAATATATATATATATATATATATATATATATCTATCTATATATATTTTGTGTGCCTATGTTATGCATGTGTGTGTGTGTATATATATATATATACGCTTTTGCAGTTGACATAAGTATCAGCTTTTATCGAAGATTTATGAATCATTCAACACCGAATATCAAATAATTGGATTTTATTCACAGTAAGTCGACTCTGTTTGAAAAAAGATACAGCGCATAAGGTTATAATATATCATTGGACTATCGTGACATAACCTCTAATTCACCTCGGCTTTTATGTAAAGGTTAGTCGTTCTCTTTTCTAGTATCCAGGAAAATTTGTAGATTTAAAAATTTTAGTTTAATACGTTATCATTACACGACGATACATAAACATTTATATATCCTCCTCTTCTTATTATTTTTATTTGCCAATTATTTGTTTTTATTTTCTCTATCTAGCCCCCAAAACATTTTTCTTAATGTTTTTTCTTCCTTTAAGTAAAAACGTAATGAATAAATAAAGTTAAGCAGTTTCTCTGTACTTTCCCCTTCTCTTCATTCTTCGTACACGCATACTTTCACTCGAATTCCAGCCTCCATACTGCTGTAAAAATTGTGCTCGCTTTATAACTTCGAATCTGTCGGTATATTCTCATGAATATAAACGTATAACATTTCCCCGGGTGCTAATTCAATCTTTATTATAAACAATGCTAACACCGTAATAATTGTGATTATCGTAATCAGCGAGATGAGTTAGTACTGTAAAATTAAAACTTACGATTATTTGAAGAGGAAAGTTGACTATAGATACATAAATTTTTATGATCATTTAAATATTAAATTACCTGTTCTTGTAGATATATCAAGCACAAAATACATTCAATAAATATCTAAATCGTTTTTTTTATTTGAATACTATTTGAGCCTGTTTTAAATAAAAAATTTTCGCCAATAACATTTATAAATTATAGCTACAAACCTTTGCACTTTTCGACTAAAGTGCGTTTAAATATGATTACACAATATATAATAATTAACTAATAAGCTATGCTTGAAAAATACGTAATACTTATAAAAAAAATGTTTTTTTTTTATTTTTCAAAGTATGCAATTTGATAATGATATAGATATTATTTTTCGGAATCGATATTTTTTGCATATAGTATATATGTGCATTGTCTACTACTATACATTTTCAACCTCTTAATACTCACTTGGAAATTTTTACAGAATATACTCATAATATGCATTTTCTGGAAGCTTTATAATAATGAAAACTTTGTGAAGTATCTATCGAATATTTCATGAATTTTATTATATAACTTAATACAATGAGTTTGTTAATATTTGATGGTGTATTCATTAATACGAGTCTAATAACAAAAAACTTTATAAAATTATAATGAAAAGGGTAAATTTAAGGAATTATATTATTACCAAAATTAGTTTAGTGATATATAAAATTTTATAACATTAAACATTATTATAATTTATTCACTGTTAAACAAAAATTTATAAGAAGAAATTTTAATTAATATATTATTGTTTATTAACGGATAATTTGATGGTTATCGATTATTTGATTGTTTACACATTTGATTATAATAACATTATGTTTAATTATTTTTAATATTATATTTACAACAGAAAATTTTATTAAAAAATGAAAATATTAATTATCACGTAAGGTTATTAATAATTAATAGAATATAAAAATGTTATACGTAGTCACGCTCATCATATTATTCAAATATAATAAAGGCTTGTCTTGTCTAAAAAGTTTTAATTGATTCTCATTTTTTATATTTACTAAATAAATTATTATCATTTTTGTATAATGTTTTGAATATTAAATAAAAATCAAATTTTATTTAAAAAAATATAACGCAAAATATCTTTTATTAAATATTACATTACAATAAAACTACTATTATTTAATGTTTTTATTTGTGTATTTTTCTTACGGCCTTGATTATAATTTCCTGTTATTTTATTTTTTTATTATAAGAATTTTTTACTCACTATTTAATAGATTTTATCTGATTGTCAGTTGATAATTTATAGAACATTAAGCAATATTATATTTAATATTCAACATATTAGATTATTTCATATTCGGTATTTCAATAAGTTTTGACGCAACTGAACTTTATAAACACGAATAAATTTACAAAATACAAAAAAGTTTAATTATTTATTTTTAAATTTATTTAAATTTAAGTATTATTTAATTTGAAAAATACATTCATGTCCAATAATGTTATAATGTAATATTGATCTTAATATGCAATAAAATTAGTATCATCCATAATACTTCGTTACATTCAATCATAATTAATACATAATAATATTCATTATTGCATATTAAAAATAGTTTTCCTCGTATGCACATAAGAATTTATACGGGTATGTATACAGGATCTTATAAAAAAAATATTTCATAAGAAATCATTTCAATATAGCACCATTCCTAATAATCATTTATTCATGCAAATACTTGGAAAATTATCAACAAATTTGTTGTTATTTTGAAGAGTCATATTCCTTATGTTGGTTGGTGATAACACTTGAATGTTATAAGAAAGAATTTCAGTAAAGAAAATTCCACGAACTCTCAATAATTCATAAGCATGGAATGTTGAGTTCGGAAAAGCTCTCTTGGGTTTTAAATAATATTTCTTAGAAAAATTCAACAATAGTAGGTTTCTTATGATTTTTTATTATGTTTTCTACTTGTACTGAAAGTTTATTTAATTGAAAAAAAATTGTATAGCTATTATATTTTTATGACGATGATAATAAAAATAAATTTCATATATAGTTCAATATGTATACAATCAAATTTTGTGTACTTAAATGTAATATAAATATCCAAAAAAATATGATCATTATTTAAAAGAAATAAAAATAATAAATTATAATGAACAGTATTATAAAAATATTTTATTCAATTACTTTATTTAAATCATATTACTGAAATATTATCCAAAGTATCGTTTAATGCAATAATGCAAATAATGATTTCATATTTTTCATTTCTGTTTTCATAATGTCCTATAATTTATTGAAGCAACAAAAAATTAAACATTTAATATTTTTAATAGTAATGATAAAATGATAATAAAATATTTAAAATTGAAAATATGTTCAAAGAATTAAAGTAAAAAATCTTGACAAACGATATGAAATATAATATTATTATAAATTGTGAAAGTGATCTATCTTTATATTTAAAATAAGCATATTTTCAAATATTTCTTTAAATTACAGTATAGATTCGAATGATTTATTTAATTTTTGTGAAAAATCATTTTGATAAATTTTTTTAATTATCTAAAATATAATACAATCTCTTAATTTAAAACATATTGGAAACGTGGAAAATTAATTTTTTTCGTTTAGTAAGAAATTTTAAAATATCACATTTTACAATATTATAAATATAAAGACGGTTAGAAGTTAACGTTGATTGTTCTCCGCATTTTTATGGTCATATTAGATAATAACTAACCAACGTGTCCTTATGCTAGACACCGAACGAAGATAAAAATTCAATTCAAATTACAATAAATTTACATTAAAATACAAACAAATTTAATATGCGTTTAAAAATGCAATAAGAGTTTAAGAGATAAATAAAGATAAAAAGAATGTATGGTAATTATTACAAAAAATTTATCGATTGAAAATATCAATATATTGATTATTTTATATCGATTATTTTATTTTGACCATTATCAAATTTTATAATTTTTTCATCATTCAAGCATAACATTTTGATATTGTTTTGAATGTATAATATTATATTTAGTCATCAAAATTTTACTTATATGCTTTATTGTAAAATACCTATATATATATATATATATATATATATATATATATATATGCATATTTTATTTTTTGAACATTACAGTAACATAGCTTGTTTAAATTTTTATAGATAATTTTACAAAAATGCTTGAATGAACCTTATTTATATGTTGACACATTTTATTTAGGATAATATTATTTGTTTCTCAGAATATATCTTTAATAGTTCTCTTAAAAATATTATTTACTTTTAATAAAGTATTTAATCATTCCTATAACGTTTATTAATAATTTTATTAATTGTAAATAACTAATTTTAATATTAAAGTACTTGATTCTTCACATGGAATTTGCATTAAAAACTAATTTTGTTATATTTTCTTACTCTTTAAAGTAGCATCATTGTTTATAATTATGAAAATTAAAGAGCTCATAATAATTTTTATTTTTTTATAATTTGTCTGCATTATTATAAAATTTATAAACACAAAGTTATTTTTTAATGACGTAGAAAAAGAATAATATACAGAAATTAAATTAATATAGTATATTCTGAAATATCTTATTGCTGATTACGTTACTCATATACATTATTGATTATATTTTTTTCTAGTATTATTTGCCCTAATTATTATTTCTTTGGTTTATTTTCAAGATCTGAAAGTGATATATTAATTAATATAAGCTGTGGCATATAATTTAATTTTACCATATCGTTTTAAAAACATCTTTATCGCTATTCATTATAAATTTAAAGTTAAAGTCTTCATTTTTCTAATCCATAATTTTTTAACCTCTTATCTGTGCAAATCATCACATAATATTTTTGTATTCGTCACATCAAACGCTCTTTATATCAACAAAAAAAATTTATGTCAACAAAATGTACAAATAACTTACTTGAAATGTGGTTTAGCGCATAAATTACAAACATAACTTTCCTTAAGATACACAATCCTACAAATATTCTTAATGTGCTTATTATATTTTTTAATATCATCTCATACAATTTTATTTTCAGTAATTCCGTAATACTAATGTATTAATCTGTACTGATCATATTTCTACTTTATATGCAAGAGTTTGGATCGTTTATTTTAAAAAAATTTAAAATACAATGTTTAGTCACCTTTTTCTATTTATTATTGAGCCATAGGAAAATGTCTTTATATCATCCGATAATCTATTTTTTTAATACAATTCCGTTTATCTGTCTCCGAATAAGTCAGATCAATTTTTTCAGACTTTCTTTTTATTTCTCTTTCATTCAACTGTTTTCATTATTGTTTATCTTTTTTTTCAAACTTAATTTTTAATTCGCATCTATTCAACTGTTTTTATTACTGTTGTATTCAATACTTCATTTATTTATGTTGAATAATTATTTTTATTTTTTATTGTTTTTATAATATTTATTGTGTTTCAAGTATCTACGTATCTTCACTTTTATCTTTCATCTTATTCTCGTAAATTATATTACACGTTTGTTACTTGTTCTTGTTTTTATGGTTTTAATATTTTATTATTTTATGTTTTTAATATTTATGGTTGTTCATTAATCGATCTTTGCTTTAATATTGAAATCTAGGTATACCGTGTTTCAATTCATAACTAACTTTGCTTTATCATAATTCTATACTTGGTATTATTACGCTTTTCTATTTTTGTTTATCGTTTTTTATTTTTATTTTAATTATAATAATATTCTTATGAATTTAGTTTGACCTGTTTAATGGTAGATCTTTCTCTTATAAGTTTAATATTTTTAAAGAAAAATAAAATGAACATTTCTTGAATATTCAATAAACTTCTCACATTCATTCTTTTCTTTAACAAAGATGAATTAATTCGTTTGTAAATTTGTAAAAAGAAAATATAATTTTAACCCTATAATATAAAAGCAAATATAAGATAGAGATAAATCATGGCTATGGTAAATATAATTTAATAATTATCCTTGTTTTAAATACAGACATATCTAAGAATAAAAATATATAAATTTTAATATATTTAAAACTATATTGTTAGTTGAACTATATGATAAATAAAAAAGTTATTACATATAGCATTGGCACATATTTTAATTTTATATTCTAACAAATTTTAATATTTTTTAATTTTTCTTCAAATTATTTTTAAAACCATTAACATATATTTGAAGATTATAAAAAAATATTTTTATTCTCGAACGATATAAAACGAAATTTAGTACAAATTTAAGTATATATAACATTTAATAAATAAAAACAACCTATTGCTTAAAATAAAAATGTTTAATGTAAGTAAATTACAGATAAAATAAATTGTATTCAATTGTTTTTATATATATATAAAGGTATGTGTGCAGCTCTTCCTTGCCTACACTTTTTTTCAGAATTTTCCATTACACAGTCGTTCTCTTTTAATGAAACATGATATATTATTTATTAAAAAATATGCAACTTAGAACGTAGATTTTCTGATTCGAAGCATCATTTTAAAATAAATAAATACTTGAATAAATGAAATGCAATATAATAAATTTCTAATGAAGAAATATAAAATGGAGATTATATGCAAATACAGTATAGATTATTTTTACATAATTTGGATAGAATAATTCATGAACGTAATATATTATATTTGTTTAATTCTTCCTTCAAATGGCATTAGAATTGCTTACTAAACTGTATTTTTGCTTCAAATTTAAACATAAAAATACATATGTTCATAATAAAAGAAGCGAAGAATTTTTAATTATAATTTTTATATCTACATTGATGTATAACTTACAAGCTAATTCGCCCAATTAACTTTGTTGAAAATAAACTGTACGATTCATCATATTTAAGAAATATAGCCATTTTTATAAATTTTGAATTACTCAATATCAAAGATTTAAGTATTTATATTTAAATTAAGATTTGTCTGAGAAATCTAAATTGCATAAAATTATTGAAGAATGTTTTATCAATATTGCTTTATATAATAATTAACGAATTTAAAAACATGAATAGTAACAAATTTTATATATCAATATTTGTTTTTTTAATAAATTGAGTATTTGTACGATATATATGAGTATAACTGTTGAAAAGTATTATATTTCAGTTTTAAATTTCTCTAATATTAATTTCAGTCGTGAAAATACCATTAAACATTTATTCCTAATTAAAACTTGATTTTGTGGGGGTATTTTTAGGTGCAATTAATAAGTGTTATGCCTATTCAAATAAAAGTTCTTTCTAACAATGTTAGTTCTATTTATATAATACTATTAAAAGTATTTCTTTATGTTTGAAAATTTTTTATTTTTTCATCTTTAAAACACAAAAAATAGCACAACCTTGTCATTTAAAGAAATTCTGCAAAATTATTTAAAATTCAAACATATACTAATTAATTTATACAATAATACTTTTTGTGTGATTAATAATTAAATTATAAAAAATTTTAATTCGTGATGAAGCTTGAAAGTAAAAATGATTTATGAAATTGAAATAATTATATGTTAATTCTATTGAAAATAATTATTCATCAACCACAAAATTATTTTCTAAAATTATCTACATTACTATGCATATCAATATTTATTGAACTTGTTTAGCATTATAAGATATTTTAAATATCATATATAAACTTTTCAATCAGTCTACAAAATAATTACAAATAAAAATTATTATTATTAATTAAATTATAATTGACATAATTTAGTTAATTTGTGAAATGCATAAGTATATACGAGTATATAAAGTTTTAAATATAAAAATATAAGAAATTATTTATATAAGTAAAATTCATGAGTAATAATTTGAAAAATAATTAATTGCTTAACAAAATTTTGTTATAAGATTTTTTTTTAATAACAGATGTCTCATCACGATCATATAGCGCATATGATTAATACAACGGAAGGTCAAAGTATACCGAATGTGCATGATATAGACCATTCAAATCACGTCAATACGAACCACCATTTGGATCACAATAACTTAAACCATCAATATAATGCTCAAGGCATTTTCGGATCAACTGGGTTATGCTCAAGTGCATCGCATTCTATTCATGGAATGTCTGTAAGTTATTCCCACTCAGTTTATAATGAATTGATAATATTTACAAAAGGATAAAAATTCTAAAACGATCTTACTTTTATAATTATATTATATTTATTATAATCATTTTAGATGGCTTTTCATGGTGGATACTGTGAAACAATTCTTTTTAAAACATGGACCATTTCATCAGTAGGAGGTTTAATTGGGTCGGTTATAGGAATTGTTATAATGGCTGCACTATATGAAGGTCTTAAATATTATAGAGAATATTTATTTTGGAAAACCTACAATGCCTTGCAATATAGAAGCGTATCAATGCCACCAGAGAAGGCTGTCGTAAATGATGAAAATCGAATAGTACAGTAAGTTTATTTATCAAACTTTTTAACTCAATAAAAATATTAAGACTGGCAGCTATATGTTGATTTTCTCTTTTTCTTCTATGAAATTATGTTCTAAAAGAAAATTCTCTAATTGCCAGTTTAAAAACAAAAATTAACTGATTCAGGTGAATCCTATTTTAAGCAATATGATTTTGACTCTTTTAGTATGGTTGGCGAGGTTATCCACAAACAACCGTAAGTAATTAATTAATTTGAGAAAAAGATTCATAATCATTTTATTTTAAGTAGAAGTTAATTTAGTTGTTGTATATTACGAGAATATTTAAACGAACAAGATAGTTACAACTTAATATATTAAATTTCAATAAATTATATTTATTTTTTAAGTTATTGCGTATTGTAATATATTTAATCTGTACATTTACATATGCTTTTTAAAACTAACTAGTATTAATTAAATATTACATAGTAATTAAATATTACATAGTACCTTAAATATTACATATTAATAAAGAAACTATATAAATTGTATATTTAAACAAAAGAAATATCTAAAACATTAGTCTGTAAAATTTGTTTTATTTAAATAAAATACTATAACTAATTTTTTTAATACATAATTATCAATGATATAGGGTAAAAATATGGTTATCATAAAAAAATAGTTTGGATATTTAACAAATTTAAATTTTGAAAATGAATTCATGTAATATAAATTAATCATCCATGTATAGAAACAAAAGATTCTAAATGTCTAAAGGGTTTTTATACTATTTTTTATTGTATACTGAAACATTCTATATTATATTTATAATTATATAAAAATAATCATAGCAATAACACTATTCATATGCAAAGTTGCAAAAAAAATTAAAATACTAAATTAAAGTTATTTGTATTCAGATATTTAAAAATTTTTAAATATGTGTATAATTTTAGTTCTGTACAAATTTATAATTCAAATCTTCATACAATTTTAAATATCTAAAATTTAATATTAGCCTATATTTTTAAATTACATAGTTTGATAAAAAGTAAAAGATCTCAAAATCCTCAGATATATCATGTTTTTTACTTAGCTCGTTAACTTAGAGTATGTTATATTATAAAAAGGACAATGCATATTATATATTGAGCATTAAAATGCAGTTGTAAAACTACAAGGTATTGGCTGAATAAATCCATCTTTTGTTTTCTTTCTCTTTTTAGCATCTTTCCTATATTTATATACATTTATATATAAGCAGAATAGTTTTTTTAACAATGTGTACTTATCTATTTGTATTTCACTATTTAAATAACGAAAAATTTGTTCGAAGATTTATTTTTAAGAATGAATACTAATAACGTAAGCAAATGTATTTTATTATTTAATATCTAAATAAAATTAATTTTGTCTCTATTTAAATATTGAATATATATTGATTAAAAAGTAATTTTAATTTTTATATTTATATATCCTATTATTATATCTGAGCTTTAAATTACTGCTAATATTATTATTAATGTTTAATGAGATTCAAATCTACCATTTACATATGTAAATACTATAACATAATTATAAAATAAATTATACAATTATACAATTATAAATTATAAGAATAAAATAACTGATTTGAGGATCATAAAAATAATGTTGTTCTTGATAGGCCAACAATGCTGTCATGGATGCATGGGTTCCAGACTTTACTACATATTGTTCAGATAATCTTATCATATTTCTTGATGCTAATCTTCATGACCTACAATACATGGCTGTGTACTGGAGTAGTAGCAGGAGCAGCAATAGGCTACTTTCTATTTGGTTGGAAGAAATCAGTGATTGTGGATGTAACAGAGCACTGTCATTAGTGTCTGTTTTGCCGGTATATGACCGGCAAAGAGTTTAGCTAAAAACTTCCTTACCAATAAATGCAACGGAAATAAATAACGACATTTTATGATCCAACTGTATGCAGTCAAAAATTACATAGTATTATTACATACCTACTAACTGCCAACTGACCAAGACTGTAAAAATTAAAAAAAAAAACAATTCTATAAACTTTACTCTTTATTCAAATTTGTAAGCCAAATGAAATTGAAAATCATGTATATCAAGTATTTTTAATCAAATAACTAAATTGAAATCAATACTTATATTCAAATAATGTATGCATAAAAAGATATATGTATGAATCTCTTTTATTAACAATTGAAGAAACATATTTTTCTACAACTCAATAACATACTGGCAAGTATGTATTTTTAATTTATGAAGTGTTTACTATTTAATTTATATTATATTATACATTCTGCAAGAATAAAATCGAATGGTTTTACATAATAAAATTTTAGATATTTGCCATATGCAAATGTTAATCTACAAAAATTTAAAAAAATAATAAAATGTAAGGCTGTTTTTAAAAGTATGTTTAAACGATTAAAATTAAAAATGTACATATTGTTGATTTGAATATATAATTATGTTAAATGTATATGAAATGGCACACACCTACAAATTATATTCTTTAATTTTTATTTTATAAATATGTGAATTTAAAAAATTTACTTAGAAAATATTTACATCACTAAAATATAGAAGGAAGAGATATATAGTGTAACATAACTTATTAAGAATGTAAAATAAAATAATATGTATAACCTTTTATTGAAGGTTATGTCATTATACTGTAAAAAAATGTACTGTAAATTATTTGTCGTACTTTTCAAGGAGAAAATAGGTTTAGATTAAAGTTAAATATAAGATGTTATAAAGTTGTAATAAAAATAAGCCAGGCCATAATTAGGCATTTTGAGTTGTAATAAGCTCAGTGTTAATTTATTTTCTTGCAAAATTTATATTAAAGATTATAAAATGTTTAAAGTATTCATTTATTAAAGAGTTCTTTAGCTTGCATTATTTTTTTGCAAAATTTTGTAATATTTATGAATGTCAATATAGTGGTTGGAGTTTATTTATAATAAAGTATTAAAAATTTAAAGCTTAAAAAATGTTTTTTTATATATATTTTGAACACAAATAATTTTTAAAATATAAATTACAGACATTTTATAAAAATAAATATTATAAACATTTGTTTACAATTTTATTATTGTATTTTTTCCATTCAATATTTTATAAAAATTCGAGTATGACAATTGATAATAATTACAACATTAAAAAAAACTTACTTTTAACATATTTGATAACATTTTTTTGTAATACATTGTGATATGATGTCCTTTTGTATAATTTTTTTATTTTATCCTTTATTGTAAATAAAGATTTTCTTATATTTTCTAAAATTTTAAATAATATTAAATGTTACAGGTAATATTAAAAATATTTAAAATCGTACATAAAATAAATAATCATATCCATTAAAACTTCTATGATGATTTAATATATAATACTATTCAAAATCTACTCTGTTTATCACAAAATATATTAAATAATAGTTAACTCATTTATATACGTATAACTGTAATTTTCTTAACTCACTTCTATATGTAAACAAAAATTAACTTATTTTAATCATGTATTTTGAAATTTAAGACATTTTTTAATTCAAATAACATATTAAAATGATTCATTTATAATAATTAAATTTATGTGGCTCTTTGATTAACGCTGCAATAATTAAGGACAATTTTGCTATATAAGCCATACATATACTTAATGTATCAGAAGTGCGTTTTAAGAGCATTTTAGAAGTTAACGGTATATTAAACGATGCAGTGTAAATATTATAAATACGTAATGAGAAGTGCAAAACAATACACATTTATACTTGAGTTCTTTTTCTGGGAATATAATACAATGTTTATGTATAATTAAATAGTATAAATAAAAATAAACTTTACATTACTTCTAATACTATACAGAATACTTTACTTTTAAAAATATACAAAATTGCAGTGTACATTTTTTAACAAATTAACTTAGAGAAATGATTAGCACCCTTATAAAAGGCCATTGAGATTAATAAAAATATTATTTAGTCTCAACAAGATTTGATAATATTATTTAAATAATTTAAGAGATATTAAGCAATAACTTGAAGTTTTTTATAGTGATTTAATACAAAGCTATTAGTAAATTTTTTGATTATTATAATTATTTTCATTAAATTAAGTCTTCATTAATTAAACAATTTTTTTTTCCTGTTAATTATCTTTAAACTTAAATTATATTTGTATTATGTATTCAGTCATTTTTTAAACTTGGAAAAATTATAATTTAAATACAAGTATAATTGGAAACCTTATTAAAGTATACAGTCATCAATTATAAAATAAATTAGAAAAAAGATAATTTATTTTGAAGTTAAAATTTTCAATTTATCATTTCCTAAGCTTTTTCTCTTCATTAATTGTTTACAAACTTCAATACTATAGATTTAAAATTAACCTCAAGTGCAATAACATTATTTGTATAACAAAATACTGTTAAGTCATATAAGATACTTAATCTGCTCCTGAAACAGGCATACAACAGCTTGAACGGTGAGGTGACTGTTGTTTTGATAAATCGACAATATCTTCAATCAATGGACGTTCCATACAAGCTTCAAGTTGTGCCCATGCTGCTACAGCTGCGCCAAATGCAATTTCTACATTAGTTGCATTCTTGGCTGATGTTTCAACTAGTGGTGGGTTACCATTTTCTAAACACCAAGCTTTTGCTTCTTCCGTTGATACTTCTTTTTCAGATTCTGTCACATCCACCTACAATACATTGTGTTTATATTGTAGAAGTTTTAATACTTTTTTCATTCATATTATTGAATAAAAAAACTATTTATATTTCATATTACTTCAATTATAAATTATTATTTTATTTATAATTCAATATAATATTAAATTTTTTCAAAGTTATATTTTTAATGTTTTATATTAATCGAAACATTGGTTCGATTCAATACATTTTGATATTTTTTATTAAATTTATTGTAGTATTAATCTATTAACGTTGACTTACTTTATTTCCAACGATTATAAATGGAAATGCTGTTTCCTCTTGTACATCTGCATAATAAAGAAATTCTGACTTCCAAAGAGTAAGATTTCTAAAACTTGTACGATCGTCAACAGCATACATTAGCAAGCAAATATCAGACCCTCGATAAAATGGAGTTCTTAGTGTTTTAAATCTTTCTTGTCCTGCAGTATCCCAAATTTGTAATGTGTAGCACTCTCCATTTATTTCAATATCTTTGTTAAGAAATTCTACACCAATTGTGTGAAAACTCTGTTCGTCAAAATAATTTGATACAAATCTATTCATCAAACATGATTTTCCTACACCACCGTCACCTAAAATCACTACTTTCAATAAAGTAGATCTTTGTGAATTACGATTGGGACCATTTATTTTATGTGTTGACATTATTATCGAATAATTATTGAGTAATTAAATGCTTAAAATATCAATATATTTCACCATTTCATAAATACAATCCTTATAGGATATATTTATCATATAACTTTTAGAAAAAATAAAGAATATATTGGTAAACAAGACAAATAATTTTTATTATTGACTTATTTAATTTTTTCTTTAACTTTTTTAAAATCTCATAATAACAAATGGAATAGAATAAATGGATTTTTTCTTCACTTTTATTAATTTTTAATTTCAAAAAAAAAAAATTATTTATTATATTCATGCATCGCTTGCACTATCGTTTAACACTGTAATTTTCTAACAAAGTTAAAATAAATAAAGGTTAATATTTTATTTTTACAATATAAGTATGTTATTAAAATAAAAATAAATATTAATACAAGCTTTTGCAAAATAGCACTTGCAAAGTAGAATCAAGTTTTTTAGCCGTATCATTGCACATTAAAGGACATTTACTAGATGCGCTACACCACTCTATTTAGCAAAAAAACAGTTGAGCAGTAATAATTTACAATTGTATTTGAAAATTGACAATGTCGGTATTGATAGAATGTCTTTGTTTTTTATTTTTAATTGAGATGATTCATACGTAAAGATTGTCCCATCGGCAGCCATACTGAAATAAAATTTTATGCAGTTATGTACTCTCGACGGTGCGTAAACGTATCATTGGCGTATAGACATAATATTAACCTATACATAAGCGTTTCTTTTATAAGAATATTAATTTATATGAATTACTTTATATACAAGTACTTTTACATAGTAACTCTATATTGGACTGAAAGCAAATAAAAATTTACATAAAAAATTTTTAACAAAATCGAATATATTTATATATCATTATTATCATTATTATTGTGATTATTTAAACATTTTAAATGTTTAAATGTAAATGTTTAAGCAAATTAAACATACAATTTGCCTTTTTATTTATTTAGCATTTATTTATAATTATATATATTTACTTTCACACATGAATATTTCGTGTTAAGGTCAAAGTGGTAAGGTCCCTTATATAGTCTATAACATATGACCAATTCAATAATGAAATTACATTTAAGCTGTGTCCATATTTGTGGTGCTACAGAAAATTGTAAATGTAACGAGGTAAATTTACAAAACTTTAATTTTTCACGTCCTGAAAAGCTAATGCATTTAATCTAACTAATCTAAATCACTTTTAATACTTTTATACTGAATATTATTTACTCGTACCTTTTCTGTATTTCAATTTTTTTTTGAAAAAAAAAAACAACAAAAACAAAAAACTATATGAATTTTATTAGGTATCAGCAATACTTTGCAATTTTGGTGGATTTGGGACTACCCATACAGATGCACAATTAGCATATATGAATCACTAATTGCAAGTTACAAATACTGTATGTACAAATAAAATCAAATGATGGATCTTACGTAATATTCACAGAACTTAACTACCTAATTGAGTTATTACAATTAAAACAATCATTAACAATCAATTGTTTTTTAATCAACTGTGATCTTTATGTTTTTAAGTTTAGATAACTATGAATTGGCGCAACTTAATAAAAATGTTCAATATCTTTTAATATTCAACGAAACAGTATTTTCATATTCTCATATTTTCAAATTAAAAAGTAAACTAAAAAATTTTTCTTCATTTATTTGGATTTTTTAAAGTCAACAGATACTTGAAATATCAATATCACGGAATCGCTGAAGAAACATCTTTCTAATTCAATGATCTAAAATATTTGACCTAATCTTCTTACAAAGTCATTAGAAGGGCTGTTGTATGTATGCAGCCCTTTCAATAAGTGTCAATCGCTTATTATCGCTTTGTACGTTTTATTGTAATTGTGGTGTGATCCCATTAACCTCTTTAAAGCTTTCGGAGATGTGCAAAACACGTGCACTTTTCGCACTTGCATGCATTTAAGTATATTATTAAATCATCCGTAACTATCCATAACTAATTTCATCTTGTATAAATTACTTTATAAAAGTGTTTTTGTTTATTTATTAATGAATTATCAAATAATAATCAACTCAATAAATTTATAATACCCAATAATAATATACATTTTTATATCACTAAAAGTCTTATAAGCAGGTTGTTCATAAAATTATAAAGCTTATCTCTTAGCGGCGATCTCTCATTATTAATTGTTATAAATCTTACATACGTATAATTCATTTTAAAATTAACCATTTTAAAGGCATGTTTCATTTTATCTGTACTACAAAAAGGTTTTTTAATAACATTTAAAAACAATCCTCTAAATTTGTTTATTTCTGAGTTTACCTTTTATTTAATATTCATTCTAAGTCTAAGTTATTTTGTGAAGTTTTTTAATGTTATTCATTTCTTATCATTAACATTTGGTAAAAAATGTAAATTAGTTTAATATTCCAATTTGAAGAATAACACAATTTATTTAAAGATTTAAATGATATATATATTTCTAATAAAAAATATAATTTTTTAATAGTCGTGTAAATAATTATGTTTTATAACTAAAACAAGTATTAATCGACGATATTTTTAGAGAAAAAAAAAATGTAAACAAGCGCGAGTGATGTAAAAATATTATATATAATGTTGGATATATGATGGCAATTTGTATAAAATGATAATTAATAAATACGAGTCAAAGTAATAAATATTGTAAAAATAACGTCAATATACAAATAGAAGGATCTAAAGTAAAGAAATTGATAAAACCAGTTACATAAAAACAATTGCTAAGCAATACAAATAAATTTTTTATGAAATTAAATTTGTCGCTATTTTTGAATATTTACTGAATATATTTTTGAGTTTACGTTTGAATGTTATTTTTAGAACTTATAAAGAGTTTTATATAGCATTAATTTATTATTCGAAAACGCTTACTTTAACATAATTGAAAATAACATTACAAGCGTGCGCGCGCACAGACACGTACATATAATTCTAATTAAGTTGCTATCACAGAATAATTTTCATATTTATCATGTCAACAATTCAAATGTCACTTTTTAGTCTTTTTTGAAAATTATACTATGCAGCTTCTTCATTAGATATTATATCTACATTTGTTTTAAAATAAAATCAAACATAATTAGATAAACTGGTAAACGTTCATAATACGGTTCAATATTTTAGTTATATTATATAGATTTAGAAGAAGTTAAACGTACTAGTCAATAAAAATAGTTGAAAATGATATCGACATCCAAACAAGCTGTTCCGATAGTTACGCGAAATGAGTAAGTGAAGTACAATACAAGTTTTAGTCCTGCAGGAGCACTTGCCTACAATTCTAATGTTACCAGACGAGTTTTTATTAACAAGGAGAGCTTCTTGAATATTGCTAAGTATATGCTCAATAATCTCTAAATAAAACTACCACATTTTACTAATTTATATATACATTTTTAATTACAAGTATTTTATTTATTACTTAAAATAATTATTTCCACAAATGTTTTTTTTACGATAATATAAAATTTTGTCACAATATCATAAAAATAAATTACATTAAAGTAATATTCAATACGGAAAAATAATTAAATTTCTTAATCAGGTATGAATACCTCATGGTTTCTTATAAAATACATGTACAAAAGATCCTTACAGATTTATTCTTTTTTTTTTTTTTGCTATTACAATTGCAAATAGTTATTTAATATTTAGAATAGGAATTATACAGTAAATAACTTATAAAAAGTTAAATTAATTTTTGAAATCTATTGTATACTACGATTATTTTCTACAATAATTTTCACATACCAGTTGTAATCAAGATTAGTTTTTAAATGATTTTAACATATTTAATGAATTCCGATGAATCATTATAAATATATTAATGAACAATTTTTGATAGAAAATTATCAAAATTATATATACTATTAGAGTATACAAATATTACGTAAAACATATTTACATGTTTTACCTATAATTTTCCAATATGTGTCCATGTGTAGTTAAATTATCTGATATTAAATTTGGTGCTACATAATCAAAATCCTACAAATAAAGAATGAATTATCCGCATTTAGACATTATGTTTCAATGTATTAATTTATAAATTCATAAAGCATTTGATTACTTCAAAAATATTTTTATTGGACTCAATTAAAGAAATAAATTTATCACGATGCTCGAAGATATTTTCAAAAATCTCCTCAAACTTAACATTTTCATCAATTCTATTTATCAATGGTTCTAATTTTCTAAATAACAGATTTTCCCAATTAATATTTTTAAAAAATGGATGACTCATTAGTTCCTTAGTCCCTGATGGCCCCGAACCTAATCTTTCCTTTGGCTGAATCTGATAATATAATGGTATTGCTAACTAAATTTAATCATGTAGATAACTATAAATGCTTAAATATATGTTTAAACGAATAAGATACACTTACTTTAAGTAATTTACAAATTAGGTCTTTGGCTACTGGAGTAACGATAACTTTAGTTTTTTTAAAAGAAAACTTTCCAAATTTTATATTTTGTATCGTCATATTACGATCATTTAATATAGTAAATGGAGTCTGAAAAAAATCTTGAAGTTAGAATAAAAAAAATTTATATAAAGATAAAAATATCCTGTCAGTATTTTATCATAATATTATTTGTTTTAATTATGTAAAATAAAATATTTAATATTTGCGTATTTGATAATATTGAATAATCGAGTATTAATAGAATTATATTGTTATAAAAAATATCATTTTTCTTAAAATAATGTAAGGAATTAAAAGTAATTTTTACGCATCCAGTAAGCATATCATATAACAGCACACCAACACTCCACCAATCAACAGCTTCATTATAAACACGTTTTTGTACCATTTCTGGAGACCTACATAAATTTTTATACTTCAATATGTTAACTTCAATATCTTTTAAGTAAAAATATAAAAGATTCCGAAACCATACTTACATATAATCCAATGTACCGCAAAATGTATAAGCTCTATTTTTATCTGGATGCAAGCGTTTACATAAACCAAAGTCCGATAATTTAACATGACCTTGGGCATCTAACAAAATATTATTAGGTTTTAAATCCCTAAAAATTACAAAAAATAATACCATTTCATTATTATAAACTAATATAATGTTTATGAATTTGCATTAAATTGACTGTATTTTAATACCTATATACGATATTGTTTTCATGAAGATATTTAACTGCTAATATAACTTCGGCTGTATATAAACTTTAAAACATAAAGATAATATTGAATTACAGGATATTTAAACTACTTATAAATTTATCTGTATAATTATAATTTTTCGCAATATAATTAAAAATTAAATATAAAAATATGATAAATTTAATTAATTTCACTCGATGTTAGTTGTACAAAAGTGAATAAAAAATTTATTTACCAAGCTCTATCTTCTGGAAGAACGTGAATTTTTTCAAGATAATTAAAAAGATCCCCACCGCCCATATATTCTAGCCCAAGGTAAAAACAATCTTCCGTCTCAAATGCATAGAAAAGTTTGACGATAAATGGATGCTGCTTATAGATAAAATAATATGATAAATTCAACAAATAATTATTTTAAATATAAATCTTTTACCTTAACCATCTCTAAAATATTTCTTTCGGACTTCACATTTTCAATTTTTTTTTTATTTTTAACAACGTTCATTTTTTTTATTACCTAAAAATTTCATTAAATATAATATGAAGAAATTATACGTATATAGTGAATAAATAAATAAATATCTATAATATATACCTTCATAGCACAAATAGTACCATTATCGTATCCTGTTTTTTTTCGAGCGTGATAAACCTTACCGTAACCTCCTTCACCCAAATATTTACCGAAATCAAAATTTTCGGGAGATAATTTTTCTTGTTTGAAGTTTATACATATTTTCTTTGTTAGTAATTGATCCATATTAATCTGTATGACTTAATATTAAGTACAATGTTTACTTCTTATTTAAAATTTGATTGAAATTTTTTTATAGATAATTGAGTACTTACATCAATTATTTACACTTTCAATTGATGACGATATTGTATTAGAATAATTAACTCAAAATGTTATAATTGGAAGGTTTAGAAAAAGATTTTTTTAAAGATTCTTGATTAATTTAACTACCGAATGTAAACTATTCATCAAGAAAACTTTACGGTCTATCTATGAGATTACAGAAATAATGTAAGATTAAAAATAATTACTAATTTGAAAGCTTAAAATCCATGAATACCTTTCTGTTTGCATGAAAGATTGAAGCCTTTCGCAGAAATTATGTATATTTAGTTATATTACAAAATTATTAGAACTTTTCATGCTAACTTGTACTACTACTAGACAACATTTAGAAAATAAAATGTACCTACACATAAATATATTATGAAATCAACGCATTACATTCTTAGATTCATATATACGTAAGACATAATAAAAACAATTTCATTACTAATTTACAATAAAGTTTATTATAAGACCGATAAAAGTTATAATTTTACTTATACTATATTTAGTAATTTTAAATTTAAACAAAAATTTATCTATATAAATAAATAATAGTTTTATTGAAAAGAAAAGTACAAAGAAAAATACATAAATTATGTTTCGCAGTCGATTATGGCCACATTATCAGATCGATACAACATAAGAGACTACTGATAAAGAAACTCTTACAAACTATAAAAATATGTGAATAAAAAAAAAATATTATTATAGCTATATAGTGCATTTCTTTGATTGAAAAGTAATACAAATTAATATGATATTTAAGAAACAATTATAACATTTATCAAATAACTAACTTTAGCCTTCTTATTTATTTAACTTCTATTATTATAGATTTTATTATTATAACATCTATTACTATAAAAAAATATTAAACTATTTTTATTTATAGGATAATTTTGCATAATGTTTTTAAGATCCAATAAATTTCTATTAGAATTTTACATTTAATTGAATATTATAATTTTATTTTATTTTATTTTCATAAAACTACATTTTATTACCAATGAAAATGCCTCAAATTAGAGAAAACTTTTTTACAAATTTTATATAAATTGAAATTTTTTTTTTTAACATAATTTTGATGAAAAAATACAAATAAACTTTTACAGTACAGCTAATTTCGTATATTAGAAATTTTATTTTTTAAACATGAAAGCTTATTAAATTATTTTTATTAAATAAATTCCATCAATGCCTCATTAAAAAAAACTCCCTAATTTATTTCATTCAATATTTCTCCAAATGTCACAAAATAGTCGAAATTTTCATATATATATATATATATATATACTATTGACAAATTAATTAATATATTATACAAATTAAACATTTTTTCCGGTTTCATTAATATAGACTGCAATAGAAACACGAAAATATAGTCAAATGAAAATATTAAAATAAAGAATAAGAATCATTTGAGTTTTTTTTTAAATTTAAATAACTTAGATGCATATTTTGTAATTTAAAACTATTTAGAATTTTATATTTTTAAAATTCAATAACATATATGATTTTTTTAATGTCTGTAACACTAACCTTTTACTGTGTTTATAAAATAAAATCATAAGATTTTAAGAACACAGCGAGGAATCATTGTAATCTATAAAAATTGGATGAGGACAACTATCCTTTACTGACAACAGCAGATTTGCAGTCCCTTTATAATTTTATGTCATACTTACCTGCTAAATAGTTTCTTTACTCTGTTTTATACATTCCTGTCACATATCGTTCTCATTAAAAATTGCCTTTTATCGTTCTCACTCTCATTAAAATAAGTTTATGATTTTAGTTTGTAATTGAGTCAAAATTATACTTATATAAAATTAAAAAAAAAAATGATGTAATAGTTTACAAATGAAAGTAAAAGTGAATTTAATATAAATTCGACACTATTAGACGATTGCAAATTAAATTAGCATTCTGCGAATAATAGTTAACGAATTATTATGAATTATAAATCTTTATAAAACAATATAAAATATTAAATTTTGTGAACGATCCTAGAAATTGCAATAACAAAATAACGGTATTACTAAACTATTATACAAATGTCGATGGCAAATCATACTTTGATTTGCTATATTCTAGTTTTTATAATTTGTTGTACGCTTTACATTATTTATGTGCATTAATAAATAATATTACGATTAATATAGTATATTGTACTAAGATACGATTTATAAAAATATAAAGTAAACATTAAAAAAGGCTGTACAATATGAAGCGATGTAACCAATTCGCATTCTGAAAATTTAGATACATTTATTTTTCTATTTTAAAATCGTAATTACGTGAAACATAGTTGAAATCGAATAGTCTTACATGACGAACATTGCAAGTGCTTTATATATTTGATACTAGAAATTTGTTTCTTAGATGCTTACGTAAATTGTATTCGAAAATTTATGCGTTTTAACATTTTTCATGTACTAGCCGAAAATGTACTTATATTATTCAAAAAGAATGAAGAAACAAATTGCTACATGGGAAAATATATATTACTGTACCAAGTAATTCACCATAAAAATTTGAACGTGTAGATTAAAATATTAAATACTAAAACTTGCGATTGTCTCGAAACCATATTTTTTAAAAAAAATTATTATTTTTTCTAAAAAATGTCATACATTAAATAATTTGAAAAATATTATTTTTTACCACGTTGTAATAAAGTTTCATTAAATTCCACATTTAAACAAATAATTGTACTTTTTATTTTAATTAAACAATAATTGTTAGAATAATTAAAATCCATGAATTGGTTACAATATAAAAGTTTCTTTTAACGGTTTTATCATATTATTTGATGAAAACAAATTTTAAAACTTTCTTGTATATTATAATATGTATAGTAATTAATAAATTTAAGATAATTTGTTTAGCATGAACAAAAATAATTGGATATATGTTATTTTCTTATACTTACATACTACTGTATCCCATTATTTAACATTTACTTATTCACTTTGTAATAATAATATACTCTTATCGGCAGTGTGGAAACAAATTTTTGTAGATACTGAGAATTTCTTATTACCTTCTCCAGTGAGCCTGCGATATCATCCATTTCATCTGCTATAATTATTGTTAGTTTATTATTTTTTTTGTATTATGTCACATATCTTCGATTAATATGGAATTGCCTTGATTTTGAATTTTGACTTTGACTATTAATTTATTACCATTATTGGCCTCTATGCAAGTAAAAGTGGAACAGTGGTTTGTACCCTTTTCTATATTGTACACGATCTGGTTATGTTCTCTTTCTAACTTTTACGCGTATATGTACATATGAATACATACATACATATATATATATATATATATTTCTTTGATGTCTTCATAAATGATTCTTAAATCATTCATGTTGGTTCAATTACTTCTTCTGTAAACTGTAGATCCGCATATACATTCTTTTTCCATTATTTTTAATTCTATTTTCGTTCAGCGTATTATTATAACTATTTAAAAGGAAATAAATTTATTACAATATTTTATTTATTTTTCCAATTCAATTAGCCTTTTGATAATTTGCCTTATTTACTTTATCCTTTTTAGATTTTTTCGTATATGCATTTTTTAATTCGTTCACGCCATTCATTCCTTCTTTAGTAAGTAATTTAACAGCAGATTTCCGTGTCATAATTTTTTACCGAGGAAAGCTTCTATGTTGCATCTATGCACTACTGATGAGACTTTAATGAAAACTTTGTATTTTAATGAAATATAAGAAAACAATTATACACGTGTAAGATAAAAAAATTATATTTATTTTTGTTATATACTATATAAGTAAAAAAGTTATCGCATATTAATATATGATATCCATTATACTAATAAATGGAATAAAGAGAGGTACTGAAATTTGTTTATTCTAATAACAAAATTAAACACGTTATTATTCATTTAGTTGCACTTTTATTGAGAAGTTGATGGAAAATTTTTAAGTATTAAAAAATATTTGAAAAATTTAACCATCGGCATCAATTTAATATTGTATTTTCCAATTATTCGACGGTCTTAAAGTATTTTGCTTTACATGGGATGAGATATCTTATATATATATATATATATATATATACAAACACAATTTTAATACAAAGTGTGGAATGAGTATATATATATATATGCATATGTGTGTGTGTGTATGTGTAACATCGCTGTATAATATTGAATATGTTCATAAATGCGACTGCTCTTAAAGCATAAAAATATTAAATAAATAAAGAATTAATTTAGAGCTCAATTTTTAGAATAAAAGAACAAACATAAACTTTTCTGAATTACAAAAATTATTTAAAAACTTTTATTTAATAATATAATCCATTTATGTGAAATTACATCAACAAATATTAATGTATACATTAATATATATACACACGTGCGCGCTCGCATATGCACACACATACCACTATACTAAATTGTAATTGCTATTTTACTTGCCAGAATGCAATTGTGTTCAAATATAAAAATTTGAAAAATAATTATATTAAAATATAATATAACGCAAACGTGTGTGTATGGGCATGCATGAGCGTGCACATAATAGAAACTAAAATATTTTCAGCATAAATAGTATTCTGATAAAAAAT